CATACATTATACGAAGTTATACGATTTTTTTTGGCTGCGTGGCTTGAAAAATCCTTTCAAATCGACCGTCCGTAGTGTATTAGAAAATGTACTTTACTTACAGAAAAGGACTTTTCATTCTACACAGCCAAAAAAAAGTATAGTGTATTTGAAAGAAATAGGTAAAACAGACCACTTTGGAATCCCCTTAATATAAAATCCTTCAGTAAGATTGCGTTAATTTGAATTTCATTAGAGATTCTCCTTCACTTTCGACACAGCTGCACATGTTATAAAAATAGGATTTCAAAGTTATAAAAGAGAAAGAATGAGAACCCGAAGAAAGGTAGCTTCAAAAACTCTTCTTTCATCGCAGTAAAGTCCGACATTGGCGATAGATTCCGTTTATTTAGGTCAAAGGTGAACCTTATATTACGAGATTCACATCGACGATAAGTTATCTTTTTATTCAAAGCGCATTGATAAGAAAGTTCCTCTGGATTTTCACATTTATTTTTATCGAACGATCCGAAGGAGCTTCCGATCAATTTAACACGTAGTTGTAAAATTATTCTGCATTATTTTTATACCAAAAAAATATGCAGAGAACAACTGAATGAAAATCGATACAATCATCTTACAATCGCTAACGAAAATAATCATAGAGTAAAATTGATACGTTGAGCAAAAAGACTCGGACTCGGCGTGATATTTGCAAGCGGCAATTCGAAGTCGGGGGTGTTTGACGACTGCCACGGTGGCAGTGCAGACTGGCGGCGTCGCAGGGAGTGTAAAAGGGGCGAAGGGAAAGAGGGACGCGACCATTGTTGAACGTCCGGCGGCGCCAGCCACTAGCCGTGATGGCTACTACTACTACTACGAAATCGTCGTCACCGACGCCGTAACAGGCTGCCGCCGACCACCAAGCGTCTGATTATAAGCGTTCGACGTACGACGACGGTCGTTCGCTAACCTGTACACCATGATTCCGGCTGCAATTTTCTGTAGCGGCAAACGTTGCGCGAATAAATCCCAGGCGCCCTTGTTTACAGACGCTTCGAGATTGCAATTACACTGAAATCATCGTGCATCGCGGGCGCGCCCGTCTCGATTTTCGAATGGAAAGTTGCTATTTTCCGCAGAATAATACGAACTTTGGGATGATGCACTTTCTAAAACGGCTGATCGCTTTTTCTTCATTCGGTCCGTTGCGTAAAAATCATTCGAGGCGGCGAGCGAGCGATATTATTCCGCGCAAAGCGGCGTCGTGATTCTACCGAATCTTGAATCAGTCATTTTGAAAAGGGCTTTTTTTCTTTAAATCATTGACCCGACTGCCGTTCTTTGTGACAATTCTAAAGAGCCATGCCGCGTATATCCGTTCGCTTTTTTTGTGGACCGCGGTACAAAAATTCGTGTCAGACAGCTTAATCTCTCTAGCGAGTACTCCGCCCGAGGCGACGGCGTCGTCGCGATTATTATCGTATTTTTGTATCTTCCGTCTCGGTCGGCTCATTACGTGTGCACGTATGTACACGTATGCTCGCGCACATACGCATTCCGTGACTTCGTGCGGAGTCTTGTTACCGGTCGGAGACACAAGAACTCACCCGGTGTCCGGCGCTACGAGTTAAATAAAAAAAAAAAAGAGACGTGACCGCTCGATAGAAGAAGTAAAAGAGAGAGAGAAAGACTTTTGCGACCGGAATAGCGGCGACACGCTTCGTAGAATTTTCAGGCGACGTCGACGAGCTCCGCCTCAGCATTCGCCCGAGGAAACGAGCGGTCTATGAAACAATTGAGGGCAGCGGGGTGGACGCGCGGAATCATTGTCAACTGCTCGCGCGATTCACGTCGCAGCTGCGCGACAGTTTACCGGCTCGGTTTCCGAGCGGCTATCAATCATCAAATCATTGGATTAAATAGTCCGGAATGAGAGGAGACGCTCGGTTTTCCTAAAGTGCGGATCTTATCTTGACGTGTACATCCGTGGTCATAAATAAGCGAATCCCTGGATTAAACGGCGGTTCGGTGTAATCACGCATCGTATGTTCCGAGCCAGTAGATGACTGCACCTTCCTTTTCTCGGAAAAATCTATTCCCGTGGGAAAATAAAATTGTACAAGCCGGGAGCTTCAGAAATAACGCTTTTCTCACATTAATTTTCTTCAGATATATCTCATTTTTATCTACTCGATTTTTCTCTCAAATTAAAGAGATAAATAATTTATCGTATGGGATATTTTATTCCACTTTTGTGCGTATGAAGATATAAAAAAAGGATTTACCTCTTTAACTTTAACTGACATTGATTTGTACGCATCTTTCCTAAATAATATCAAAGTAATTGGAACTGTATCGTTTATCGCGTTCTTTCTATTGATATGAGCAAATTATATTATTATATTATGTATTATTATAAGCATATTTGAATAATAAAACAAAAAAGAGAATTTTTGACGAAAAGAAGTCTCTCTTCGCACGGATTATATAATTTCATGCTCATTCACACATTCGACGCGTGTGAAACTTATTTCTAGATCGTGGATGAAGATACAATATTCAACGCGCAGAGACCAATTTCTCACGATTGGCTCTTGCGAGTGATAAACTCCCTTATCAGATACGTGGAAGTGACTCAAGAAGACGATGCCGGACGTCGATAATCAAACTTGGCCAATCAAACGTCGGTTATCTCGGTAAATCTTTTCGGTGCGCCTGAACCGAGAGCGCATTGATAACAATAAGACCGCGACTTATCATCGCGTACGCCGACGATAAGGCGTTTCTCTTAACTGCGTAGACGATTGCAGACAATCCGCTCGAGTGCAAGATGAGTACAGGCGAACGGAACCAATACCTGGGCGGGCAATCTGGCCGAGTCATTTCCTTTGGTGATTCACGCAAATCGGATTCTTGACGATAGGCTTGTGTAACACGTGATGCTCAGCCAACAACTCAAAGTTGCCTTTCGCTATTAGCTCCAAGCACCTGCGTGCATCACGATAACATCATCAAAATTTTTCTTCGCTGAACAATACGAGCGAAAGATAGATGATGCGATAGAAGAAATATCTGTTTTTAGAACAAATAATCCACACATGCACACGTGCATACATGAGCGATGGGAGTGTTAAAAAAAATAGCTTTGCTTTAGCGACGGCTAATCAAGTTCTAAGAATCACGACAAAAATCGAGCGCATACCAATATCTTTTTAGTTCAAATTGTACCTTTTGTCATAAAAGCAAGCGCGTGGGAAATCCAAAATGGATGTCATCGAACACGAATATACCAGGAACGTAACGAAATGTAGGAAGTCACGGGATGCGTGAGGTCGAGCTAATCACCTTGCGACGTCAGCGATGAGAGCCAGTGTTTCCGCCACTAATTGAGCGGTCTCATCGATGATGCGGTGTTAAAGCCGGCTCGGCGTGCTCCGGGGATTCTCAATGAAAAGTATCGGCAAGTATTCCCGTGAGAGCACACCGTGGCGCTGCGCGGTTTCCTCAGTTTATTTATTCCCCGGGTCAAGGGAACGTCGTTTCTTAAACACGGGGGTCAAGGAGTCAATGAGATCCGGTTGCTCAGGTATGTAACCGCACAAGTGCCTGCCCGCCGAGTCTCACGCGGGCGTCTCTCTTTCTTTCTTTCTTTCTTTCTCTCTCTCTCTCTCTCTC